CCAGTACATTACTGGGACTTGGTTCTACCGGGTTGACCGCATCACGCACCGCTACGTAGTTCCGCTGATTCCGTAGTTGCCTCGCTGCCTTGGTTGTTACTGCCGGCAGGCGCAAATCGGCCGGCGCCGCTCCTCCCCGCGCCCGCAGCGGCGTCATTCGATACTCCTCCCGACTATCTGCCGTGTCATCATCTTCTGACGACTCCGACTCCGACGAGAAGAGGTCACGACGCCGTTTACGCCGGGGCGGGCTGGCACTGCGACTAGATGTATGATGTGCTGACGCACTTCCAGATCCTTCCACATCAAGGGAAAGTCTGCTACAGCCACGCCGAATGACGTATCAAGCGAGGATGCACGTGTCGACTATGCCTCATCCCACGTTCACATCAACGGCACCAGTGTGGTAGTGTGATTAGAAAAGGTTCAATACCATTTACGTTCTATTTTACTTTGCACACTCACATAATAGAACAATAGAAAACGAATAATGCAGCCGCGACTATCACACCGCGCCGCGAGCCAGCCGAGAGTATCGCGAGAGTGAGTGACCTTGAACAACGTACACATTCAGCTGACTGCTGACGGGAAAGGCGCAACGAAATTGCATTCACTACACCAGCAGGTCTTCTGGGTGCCGAACACGGCCTTGACAGTGCTCGCCATGCTCTCCACGACACTTTCTGCCGGGCAGAGCAGCCAGAGCCTGACAACTAGCTCCAGGTAAGGCGACAGGCGCGCGTCACCAGCTGACCACAGGCTCTTCAGCAGCTGGTGGTTAGAGCCCGGCTCCATCATCCTAAGCTTGGAGTAGGTCGCCATGATAGAGTCCCACGGCAGGACCTCCCTGGGAATGATCCTGTCCCGTTGCAGCAGTTCCAAGGCTTTCCCGACTCATCGAACGTACCTGAAGATAGTGTTTTGTGTATCCGTTCCAGGTCGCCAGTCATCCTGATGTACGCCATGTCTTCCTTCACTTTCTGTTGTGGCTCCCGAACGTGCGGCCACGAGCGTCCACTCCGTTTTGTCGACTAGCGGCGTGGTTCTCGAGCTTCCTGATGAAGTGGGAGCCTTGATGCATCTGAGAACACATAACGACCTGATAGCAGAACTTGTGCGAACATATATGCCACATGTGGCTGGTATAGTGGTAAGATTGGCCAACGTTTACCAGCATATTTAATGTAAAAACAGAAAGCTGCGGCTAGTTACACAATCAACGAGTAAATGATTTGAAAAACTAACTACCACACAACACAGTTGTGTTCGAACTTTCAACAGGGGCGCCCCATCCCACGTACAAGGGACACATGGCTCCACGGATCGCGCTGCTCTGTGTGAGCTGACTGGAGTTTCGCCAGAAACTTCGCTGGGACGTCGGCCATGTGATACTGTCCATCGGTGCAAATAACTGCGAGCTTCCTCGTTTCTTTCACTCCCACTGACGTTACAGTCTCCAGCCACTCTTCTGCCAGTCCCTCGCCATCGTTTTTCGGCACGATTGGAGCGCCCACCAAATAGCTCTAAACCATGCAGTCGTGAGGTGCATCTGGCAGCAAGGTGATGATGCCAGTTATCATATCTGCCATTCTCCGCCCCTGCTGGGTGGCGATATTATTATTATTATTATTATTGTTTATTCAGCATCGTCATGCGACAAAAAGATACATACCCCCCCCCCCCACCCACCCACACACACAGTTAATCAGCACTCAGGAGGTTAGTAGTCTTAACAGGCGCCGCGAGGCCTGACAGTTGCTTGCCAAAACCATCTTCAAACTGTCTATAAGACCACTTTCTTGGAGTGGTGCCCGGACTATGTCGTGATCGACGTACCCAGCAGCGATGTGCATGATAGCGCCGAAGTTCCCACCACACAGATTATATACGTGGCCAATAAACGACCCATCCAACTGCTCTCATCCAACTGCTCTCCAAATATGTTCAGCTAGCTTATCTAGCATTACCTCACTGAGCGCGTCACGCGTCTGTACCGTGAACGGCCGCAGTCAAAGGACAGACTGTAGTAGCAGCAAGCGTGGACTTGCAGTGCCCAGTGGCAGCATACACTGGGCAGCACAGGCAGCAGTATCAGTAGAAATAAGACATTGACATGCTGGGCTTCCCTCGGCTGATCTTTTTGTGTCTGCATCCTACCCACAGATCATCGTCCGGTGACTTATGTCGCACGATGCACTCGGTTGATGTATGTGTAGAGTCCTGGTCTCTGTGCAGCCTTCAGCCGCCTGTAGACTCCAGTGACCTTGCGTCTGTATTATAGCACTCGCATTCTATCATTCACTCCGCGCAGCACTCGACCGCAAGACTTCCCGGTGACTCGCGGCACGGCGCGACATGGTCAGCACCGCTGCCCCGATCAGTATCCCGGCGTGGGACAGCGAAGCCCCTTACCGGGTGACGTAAAATGACCTGGCCATCCGCCGGCCATCGCTTCGCTCTATCAGTATCATCTCACATAGCTCCTCAAATGTTCAGTGCAAAAGCCTTGTACACTGTGAATTGGGCCATACATTTCCCACTTTTTGCAATTGCCATTTCTCTCTCTCACAGCGCTTCAGCTGTTTGCTTCATCAAAGCCCTTGAGCTTGGTATGTGTTGCCGTGCGTTACTGCGTGTTTCCAGATGTTTTCCGATGTTGCCATGGGTTTTTCTGTTTCTTGACATTTTATTCACTTCTCCAGTTTTCTTTTCTTTGCGAACCATTTCGCCACTGCTAGGATGTTCCATGAGACTGTCCTCCGTCTTCATTGCAGGGGCGCCTTCAGGATGCTGGGTGTGCTCATACAGTCACATGCAGGCTTCAGAGCTGATGTGTGTATTTCACATGGGAATTCGCCTTCTGCAACACAAATAGGACATTAACACAGAAGCCTCCATGCAGATGCGGGACGAGCGGGGCATGAGCAGAGCAGCAGTTACAACAAACTGTGAACGAGACCATGCCAACTGGTGTAGCGGGCAGACGGGCTCGCACACGCGAATGCAGGAGCGGGACTGTGTCCTGAATGCCCACAACCTCTCACAGACGAGCCACCATGGTCATGCCACAAACCAACACCCATACCCGCACATGCATAGGTATCTTTCACAGGAGAAGTTTGATCATGGTTTTTATTGTGAATAACATGAATGACGTGCGTGATGACATGATGTGTGCGATGACATGAATGATATCTCAATCCGGTTTTGTAGCCTGCCCTTCACCACCAAGGTACCGTGCTTCCTGGCCAAGTTGAGTCCTTTCAGAGGGCTCAAGTTACTCACCTGGGTCTTTCTGGACCTGCACCTCGTGAGCCGACGTCTGCCGGATGCGGCGGACAGCCTGCGACGGCGACTGGTTCGGCTTACGTCGGGCGCTCTCACTCCGTGACAGCCAGGCAAAGCGTGCGGTGAGCAGAGAAACGGAAGCGCACATGCGTTATCGACGGCATGGCGGTGACAATGCGACTGCGAACTTGGATGACTTGTGATGACCGTCAGGTGACAGGCGTCAGGTCATGGCTGCTCGGCGGCTCCCGGTGACGTCAGCATTGAAGGCGTTTGTCAGTTTAACGCCGGACGTCGTGGGGCCGGCCTGTTGCTGACGATTGTCAACAACACCAGTGGAGCAGCGGTGCTGTCGGCTCAGATGGCGGGGCCAAGGCTGACGGCGGTCATCAGGGCAGTCGAGGTTACCGCGGCCGTAGTCTGCCGGCTAGAAAACCACTGTAAGCATCTTTGATGTGCGCTGTCTGTAGTCAATATGTTGTCTCGTGCCTGGTTTGATTTGGGACGGGCTTCATTGTCCATTTTTGCGGTGCTGATACGTCGGGTAGTGTTGTGGAGCGTCTCGGTGTGGGTCATGTCTTGGAGTGGTACAGATAAGCCAGGGGCAGAATTTTAGTCGAAGATGAGAATTTGGGGCGGACAGAAGGTTCGAACGGCAGACATCGGCCATATCTTATAGTTAGAAGCACCAACGTTACCAACGCAATAACTTAAAATATTAACTTCTAATTTAATCGTGACTCACTTTGACACAGTATGATAACTTCTGTACATGTACGTCCACGATGTCGGCGCTTCAACGGGAAAATGGATCGTCCAGCGATTGAACGAATCACAGAGGGTTCCGCAGCACAAGAAGAGGACGTTTGTTGCAGCGGGCGTCAGCGAGAGCCACGGGAGAGCTAGGAAGAACTGTTTCGCCCACATTTTGCACCGAAGGGATGAGACCCAATGGTGACCGCGAGGTGACTTGGAACAAAGAATGACGTTCCGACGATATCCTGGTCACGGCACCAAAAAATGTTGTATCGCGGCGTGTCTTGGGATTACATCACGATCGCGTGGACGGGTCCGTGACTCAGACTGAGACTCGCTGTCTGGCGGCGGCTGGCGCAGTGGCCGGCTCAACTGTAGGTGGCGTCTCGGTCGGGCGACCGGCACAATGGCACAGTCTCGGACATTGATACATAGTACGGTCTTTGACATTGTTACATGCTCCTCTCGCTGATCCTACGCTGCCGCCAGTCCGCCAGGAGAGGTCTCAGCGACAGCCGCGACGACTGTCACGGGTGTAAACCTCTTTACCTCTGGGTCCACCGAACTGTGACCCTCAGCGCCCTCCGCCGAACTGACAGGCTCGCACGCCCAGCTCTCCCCTGGCTCTGTAAGAAAGTAAGGCCACACGTCCAACCCTTCTGTACCCGCTCACGCGAGCCAACGTCTGCTGGACTGGCAGCCAACGTAACGTGCCTCCGGAACGGAACGCATGGGGAGGGAGTTGACTTGGCAGAACCCGCTGTTCCAACACTGTTGCATTGGACCTGATCGGTTCAGACGACTTAAACCTGATCGAGACCGCGACGCCGAACTTGGAGGCGTGGTCAACCACACCTTTCTTTGCCTCATAAGACAGGCTGTCTTATTTATTGGGACCCTGACTACCTTTGAGTGTTCGTTCAGTGTTCTGACGAGTGTCTTGTTGCGCATTGCATCACAAGCTTGTATTGTTTCATCAAAATGACAAAAGATCACAAAACTGCATCTACACCAATGTCGCATTACTCGAGTGTCCGCCGTGTTGTCATATCCCCTGTGCGGGCTGGGCGATGGTGAGAGCCCCCACCTCCCTCGCCCAGGTCCGGACGGCGTGGAGCTCTTCTGCCGCGACCTGCGCGTCGAGCCTGAGAACGTCGTGATGCTGGTGCTGGCCTGGAAGATGGACGCCCAGAACATGGGCTACTTCAGCGCTGACGAGTGGCTGCGCGGCCTGTCACAGCTGCAGTGAGTGGACGGGGACGGTGGGGTGGGGTCAGGGTAGTGGGATGGGGCTGGCTGGTGGGGCTGGGGTGGGGCGGAGTGGCTGCGCGGACTGTCACAGCTGCAGTGAGTGGACGGGGACGGTGGGGTGGGGTCAGGGTAGTGGGATGGGGCTGGCTGGTGGGGCTGGGGTGGGACGGAGTGGCTGCGCGGACTGTCACGGCTGCAGTGAGTACAGGAGACGGTGGTGGAGGTGGGGTGGGGGTGGGGTGGGTGGCAGTGGGATGGGATCAGGACCGGGAGTGGTAGCGCTGGGATGGGTCCTGGACAGGGTTGTGACGGTCAGACGGGTTTGACTGGGGACGGTGGCAGTAGACTACAAGAAGCGAGGCTTAGCCTGCGGGGCTCGGTGTTTGCTATGAGCAGCGTCGGTCTTCTCGGGACGCCGCCTGTAATGGCTACGTTTCAGAACGCTGACCCGACTTCAAGCCTTCAAATATGTTGTGCACAAATGTGTGCACCTTCTGGTCCACAGAGTGCAGCTCTAAAGACATTTCATGTAATCACAACGAAATTACAAAGTTCACATGAACGCCATAATGACGATCGCAAACTTCCAAAGTTTGGCCTTCTTGGTTATCTCAAAAGCCGACAGAAAGTAGCGATTATTTTCCTCCCGCTGGGATGACCGATTTGCTGAAAATCGTTAACTCCTCACATCAGTTCTGATTTCTCTGTCACATTTTATTGCATGGTTCTGATCCTAGAAGTCGCACCGAACCGATGGGAATACGGCGAAGCCGAAGGGCTATCCAAAACTACTCCCTCAGCCATGGGGTTACGCTTCCTAAAGTGGCCATGCCGTTTTGATACCACTCTGTCAAATTAGCTGAAGTTCTATGTTTGATCCTTAGATACTGGTTGAATATGTAATAATATAATAAACTCTATATTTTACGCTGCCATAATTGCTCCGTATTTTTGTATCACACACGCTAATGACGCGTAATCGGCGCATTTAGCGGAACCATCTCGTTGACTGTCGTCATCCTAGCACCACCGGGCACCACTGAGCGTCATCTGAGAGTCGGGGCCGCTGACGCTGAGCTGACAGCTTCCATTAACTCAATTGTGAAGGAGTTCGGCAAGTTGGCGGCCCTGAAAGGTGGTCCCGATCGCGCGGCCGGTCATGTGTGACAGGCGGCGGCCGGCGGCCGGAGAGACATATACCGCTCTGTGTGGTCGACTCTCGGTGAACTGCCGCCGGGGTCCTGGGAACGATAGGGCCGAACACTAGCCTTGGCATCCGCGTTCACCCCGCCTGCGCCGTGAACTGACCACGTGTATCCAACAGGGACGAGTGCTGACCTTCCCTGTCCTTCATACAGGGCGGTGAACTGACTGCATTCATCGTGCAGGTTGTGAACTGACCGTGTCTGTCCAATAGGGACGAGTACTGACCCTATCTTCCTTACCGCACCCTTCCTTCCCTACCCTACCCTGCCGACAGCGCCGACTCTCTAAAGCCGCTGCTCTGGCGGATCGAGTAATGACTCTGCTCCCTCTGTCTTTCCGGACAGGGCTGACTCTTTGGAGTCGCTGCGCTGGCGAATAGACTACCTGCTGGCTCTGCTCGACCACCCGGACACGTTCAAGGCCATCTACAGGTTCGGCTTCGACTTCGCTCGGGTACGCGGGTGAGGTGGACACATGGGCGGGCGAGTCTGGACATTTGCCAGCAAGTCGTCTTTGGCGGTGATGATTGCTGTAATTGAACTGGATAGCTACTGGCTGCGCTATGGGCAAATGATTTTCGCCGAAACAAATAGGTGTTGTTTGCCTTTTTGTCAAAGTTTGGCTATCTTTGCCTGATTAATCGCTCTTTGTTTTCACATGTATCAGTTTTCACATTTGAATGTGTTAAAAAGTGAATATGACGAGGTAACAAAAAAGGGAGATGGCTGAACTCTGGTTAATTCTCCCCTCCCACTGTCTACAGGAGAAGAGCCAGCGCAGTATGGAGCTGGACACGGCGATAGCGATGCTGCGCGTGCTGCTGCAGGACCGGTGGCCGCTGTGCGCCGTCTTCCTGCGGTTCCTGGCGCAGGGCCGGTACCGGGTGGTGAACCGCGACCAGTGGAACAACATCCTCGACTTCTCCCGAGTGGTGGCCCCCGACCTCTCCGGCTATGATGAGAATGGCGCCTGTGAGTACGGGTCGCCGGGTGACGGCTGAATTGGCTCGCATGGAACGCTGTGGCTGTATTCTAATGCTAATGACTACGCTAGATACCGGAGAAATACGAGTTAAATCAAACTCACATGATTTCTTGCGGTGGAAGGCTGTGCACTCTACTGCACATAGGTGCAGAAAAGCGTAAGACTAGTTGCAGTGGTTACGTAAAGGATCATTTGTCTTCATATGGACCTAGCAGGCTCTTTCAGGTTTAGTGCGTACGTAGATAATAGCGTTATCTATACCAGCATAGCCTGTGACGATGGGTTGACCTTTTCCTCGCCGTCACTCACTAACAGAGACGCCCGTCTTATCGTGCATATTTCCGGTATTCTGACTATCTCTGAATGGGGACCCGGCGCAACTTCAGAGCGCAATGCTGGGCACGAGTCGAGGAGGGATGGGACAGAAGTCTGGGCGGCGGTGCCGGCGGCTGTAACGCCTGTCCCCCGGGCCGAGCTGATGGGGTTGTCAGCCCCGCTGATACAATGCATCGCCGGAGTCGCCCGGCGCTCCCCGACGGCTGCGGCCGGCGCAGCGGCGTGCCCAGCCCAGCCAGAGTGGGAGGTGGGGAGGATATATCGATAGAGCTGCCTACGCCCCACTGAAGCACTGGCAGAACTACGCTTCGTCACCCCGGCGTCGGTTAGAGCCGGCCGGCCATCCATGTCCGTCCCCCGAGACTCCAGCAGTGGACGGCGCCCCCGCGCTGGCGGCCAGAGGTGACGCCCCTGCCCGGACTCGAATGGCCCGCCTCTCCGGCGCCCATTAGAGACCGTGCATTTTTCAGCGCCGTATTGGGGGTAACGCTTCCCAGCGGGGGCCCGGTCTTATTGGAAGGCTGATCGGCAGACTGGCTTTTTGGGCGGCCTGCGGTGTCTGCGGTGTAATTTTGCGAGCTGGAGAGTCGTAGGGGTGGCGTCTGCCGTCGGGGACCGGCCGAGTCGCTTGGCGACAGGGGCCAGACAGTAGTTACCAGTTACACGTCCTATGCCGGAGTTCAGAGTCCCAGAGACTAGCGGTCAGACGCCCTGAGACCGGCGGTCACAGACGGTCACCTTCCCGACCGAGCCGTCCCCCACATCCAGGGAGGATCGAGCCGACCTGACCGGAACGGGTGGTCAGGGCGCCCCGCGGCGCCGACACCAAATTAGCCAGCCCTCGGCGGGGGCGGCATACCTTGGGGCGTCACACTGCGGTACTGGCGAGTTCCACCCGTGCTGACAACACACGCTGATTGGCATAGCGCTGCAGGCTTGTTTTATGTTTTCATGTGTTCTTCTAGCAGTTGTTGGCCGGAGTTTTGATTGATCTGGTTCTGGGAGTCGGTAATTGGTTCGATTGTGTGTTGATTCGCATTGACTAGGATCATTTATTCTTTGGCCTCCTTTCTATGCGACCTTTTCAGCTCGTCAACATTCTTTTTTTTTTGCATGCTTCTTTGTATTTGCTCTGCGCACCTCGGCAGAAATGAGGTTTAAAGCTTCCATGCAACCTTCAATGACGCTAAATTAGCGTCATGTCGACTGCTTCATGGTCATAACACTCATCACCGACTCCTTCTAAACATGTTACCGTGCTGACCGACTTCGTCCCCTTCCCCGTCGCTCTGTCTACACTACCCCCTGCTCTCTCGCCCGTGGCCACTGGAGCGCGGTGGCCGGCCGCTCGAGCGTACAGCGCGCCGTAAAGTTTGCGCCGGTGTCTCGGCTGGTGCCCGATAGTGTCCGGCGCCCCAGACTCGATCCCGTGTCCCCACCCGACCGTGGTGATCAACGGGGCGCTCCAGAGGCGGCGCCAGGCGGATAGACAGGGAGGGGGGCAGGGGCGGAGACAGGGCACAGGGGGAGACTGTCAGTGACAAGACTAGAGTGGGATGCATGGAACTAGGCGGATGGGTGGATCACTAGTTGAATAAAGTGGGACTCTGGTGGCGAGCAAGCATGTGGGCAGAGAGTTTCAAAGAGATATTGAAAGGGCGTTTCAGATCCATATTAGCGAACCAAGCCAGAGTAACTGAAATCCATAAATTGAAGAGTGTTTCAGAGCCGTGTGAGCGGTCGAAGCCGTGTCTCGGTCGGTCTCCGGTAGCGTGTCGTTACCAGGGCGGCGCGGAGGAGTGTCGGATGTGTCCACTGGGTGCCGTCACCTCGGCTTCGGTCTCATTTGCACCGGCCCTGTCGTTTTACATTTCCAGCGAGACAGCCGCGGGGGTGATTTACCGGCTCTGGTAATGCTAATGTTGTATTTACATTTGTTATCACCGTTACCCTTAGCCTGTCGCCGCCAATAGCTCCTCGGTCGAGATCGAGTGTTTTGTTACTAGTTTGTAGCGGCTTTTTCCGCCTGCACACGCCGTTCTGCTTTGAGACTGCTGCTGCCGGCCGGTGCTGTTGTATTTCTCGGGCTGTGCCCGTAGCCGGAGCGTTTCACCTCTGTCACCGATCGGTCTGACGCCAGAAGTGGGCGCCGTGCTGCTATCAAGGTTCCAGAGGCGTGGGACGAACCGATGAAGCGGCGGCGCACAGCGGGGTGCGTCGAATCGCTCATCGGTAGTCCAGTGGTATCCAGAAATCCGCCGACCGCGCCGTGGTCAATATGGATGGTGCGGTGGGATGTCCCCGGCGCCGCTGGCTTTCGTTGCCGCGTTGTTGCTGGATTTATCGCTGCGATTTCGAGTGTGAACAGGCACGGTTATCCGCGCTGAAGTTAGCATGTTTCTGTGTGGGTGGAGGAACGGTCGGGCGACAACTAGCCGACATCGTAAGTTCAAGTGCACACTGCCTTGTGACATGTGTACTCTGGTTGGCTGAAGTGGTCTCTCCTATTCAGTGCCGGCAGCAAGCCCCCTGCCCGCTCACCGACGGCTGCCGGGTTGTCAGCGGCCGCCGGCGACAGGGATTCACGGCACGTTTTCATTAGGCACGTCTGGGCCGCTCAAAAGATTGGCCGGGAGTGGCGTCATATGTCGCGGCTGGTAACGGCATGGCACGGGCCACGGGGACACTGAAAATATCACCGGGATAGGGGTTACGTGGGCGACGGTAGCCTCTGATGAAAAAGTGCTGCCGTGTAGGCCACTCCTCTTGTTTGGCTGATTGTGTGGCTGCATCAGTCAATTGCGACAGTTCAACGGTATGAACTGAAAAAAGGAATATGCTGCAAAGTTTTCAGCAACTTCACGCATATTGGCAATGGCGTATATAACGAGAATGGCACCTTTTTGTTCATTTCTTCAGAGTGCCCCAGAAAATCTCGGCGAAAGTAGCATTCGGTTACAAAAACCCTCGAAGTGAATGGAATTGGTTTGGGAACTTGCCGAGCGTCTGTCGCTGCCTCGATGAGGCCTGTCAGCGTTCCCGCTGCTCAGACACTGGAGGGGCGGCTGCAGTCGAGCTTTGCGATGGCTCAGCCGGAACCGTACCAACCACTTTAGCTGGTGCCTTTAACCGGGCGGGCCTCATGCCCATGTTCTTCGCAAATAGCTCAAAAGCACGGCAATGATTAGTGATTAGTTGGCGGTCGCCTAGGTCAGATCACGACGGCTTGCTAGGTGACCTAGTCTGAATAAGAAACAAATTTTCGGTTGTAGCTTACACGTCGAGCGCGTCGTCGTCGAGGTTTTACACGTCAAGGTTTAGCGAAGCGTGTAACTCGGATTTTACGCATTTATGGTCAAGGGTCTTTGTCTGAAACACTGTATACCTCTTTCAGAGTCGAGGGAGGATTCTTACGCGTCTTTTGCAGGATTTGTCTGCGCTCTCAAAGTGATGTGTAAGCGGATTACGTTGTTTTGCGTTTATTCCAAACTGTTCGATCTCGATCTTTGTAGATGCAGCTGGTTGCAATAGACAAAACATAGGGGAAAGTGGGGTAAGACGGGCACCTTAACTTTGGAGCCATTTTTCGGCCGGTTAGAAACATCATAGAAACGGGAAACTGGGTGAAAACCTTTTTCAGACATTTTACTTTCATTTGCCAGAAGATGAGACTTAGACCTGATTCAACAAATAAACTGCAGCTATTTTTGCAAAACCTTGCAAAAACCCGTCTTACCCCACCCCATGGGGTAAGACGGTCACATGGGTAGGGCAAGACGGCCAGCTTCTTTCACCGATCAGCGCAGCTCGCAACAAATGCCCGAGATTAGCCGCATTTATACAGTCGCTCGTTGGTCTCAAGTGCTTCGGAAATGGCAGTATACGAGATTCGTGCAGAAGGCGTATGCTCCTATATAGGCCCTAGTTCAGAAGCCATGTAGAACCGTTTTTCACATTCATTATTCGAGAATAAACTGTGCCGAAGGAATATTGCTAACATGTCTGTGAGTATCGGAATCGAACATATTCTTATTAGAAATGCTTCTTTTTTCCTACAGCAACAAAAATATTTTCACCATTACAGACCCATTGGGTTCATAGTTGCCCGTCTTACCCCAAACTCAATGTCAGAAGTTCAGCACGATTTTTCGCTGTGGACAATTTGATGCAGACAAAGCAAATCCGCCGTAAATGAACACTGTTGGCATATGAGTGTACCACAAGTGATTGCGAGTTTTTAACTCTATAGTGCTGTACACAAAAGCTTGCACAATACATTATGGATGTTTTCAATGAAATGAGTGTTTTAAAGAAATCAAAATAAAAGATTATCGACTGAACACAAATTCACCAGACTTGAATGGTGGTGTGTAGTGGGAAAGGCAATTCTGGTCCTAACTTTTCTTGCTCGTAGCGCTATTGGTTTGGTCTGCAGAAGGGGTGCCCGTCTTACCTACCCTGACCGTCTTACCCCACTTTCCCCTAGATGCACTGCATTATTTGTTCTATTAGACTCCTGAAATATTCTTGTAACACGTTCCTCTTTCTTCATAGCCATTAATCGTAAATTGAATGCTGCAATAATTTATGTATTTTCCAAGACCGATGGGCGATGAGCAGTAACATGCAATGATTGCAGTTGATTATTGATTGCAACTGTGGTTTGACAGTCACCACATCAGCTAAATTTATATTCCACCATATTCTAAATTTCTGGATTGGCCACTGGCCAGTCAGGGTCGCTATTATGCTGTGAAATCCTTCATATGGTCATCTGCTACTTAGAACTTTTGATACGAAATCGGCCCCCGTCTCGCAAACTTATCGTCTCATGAGCTTTTGTAAAACTTATGCCAGTTTTGACACTCCAAAGTGATGACAGAGTATGCATAATTTGCTAAAGCGATCCGTAACTATGGGGCCGGCCCATCGGCCCGTGATGCTTGAGTTTGTCTTTTATTGCTGCTCTTCTAAGCGTGGCTGAATATCAAACCGGAAATCAGCGGTTCAACTCTTCTGAAAAGAAGTGCGCCTGTTTTCCTGCATTTCCGATAAGAATAAGCATGAAGCCCTGATACATATGTGTTTATACGCAAAAATGATAAGCAGAATATTCAGTTCTACAATTAGCCATTGCCAAAGATTTGTTTTACCAAAGCTTGAGCTTCGACCTCTGCTCAGGAAAGTTTCAGCGATGCCCGGTGTTCAGTGTTGTGACTGAGTGCCACCGAATTTCCAGTTCCCGTTGTGAGCGTTTGTTCTGTGAAGGACACCGGCATTGTTAGACAATGCCGCTGACCTAGCCGGGACTGGTAGGCAATACGGGGGTCGGGAGGAGAGTAGGGGTCATTTGCGGGACGGTCGGCAGTGCCAGGGGCGGTGCGTCAGATCAGAACGTAACTGCGTGGTCTCACGGAGCGTTGCAAAGCTGTTTGGAAACCGGACGGCGTGTGATCACATCTCTGGGCTGTTCACTGTTTGCTCTGAGTGCCGGTGACGGATAAAAGGAATGCAACGAAACGTCGCAACATTGATTTCCTGACAGGCCGACCACAAGCATCAGTTCAATGCCGCCAGAGTAAATACAATCAGAGAGGCTGATTCAGCCTACTGTAGCCCAGTGTATTGAGGAAATTGGATGGGGGAGTTTTTGACCACACTCTGGTTTGAATCAGGAGGTCCAGTCTCGTCATCATAATCCGGATGCCTTTACAATTGGAACTGTGTCTGTATGAAGATTGTTGGATGATGAAAAACTGTTTTATTTAGTATAACTTCGCCATCACGTTTCACTGAAATGTGCAGCAGCTGCCACTGCGCGCCTATGTGAGTCTTCCGTTTTAGAGGATAGCTGAGCTGCCAGCCCAACATCAACAAGCCGAAAGGCCTAAATTGGCACTGGGCTGTTTCCTGGGTCTACCTCCTGAACATGACCCGCTCCGACCTGCCCTGACCTGCCCTGACCTGACCTGTTCCGACCTGCCCTGACCTGATTTGACCTGCCCTGCCCTGCCCTGACCTGCTCTGTCCTGTCCTGTCTGTGTCCTGACCTGACCTGGCCTGACCTGCCCTGCCCTGCCCTGCCCTGACCTGACCTGACCTGACCTGATTTGACCTACTCTGACCTGACCTGACCTGACCTGACCTGTCCTGTCCTGTCTGTGTCCTGACCTGTCTGTGTCGTGACCTGACCTGACTGTCCTGCCCTGACCTGACCTGACCTGACCTGACCTGACTGCCCTGCCCTGCCCTGCCCTGCCCTGACCTGATCTGACCTGCCCTGACCGTCGGACAGGGCCGGTGATGTTGGACGAGTTCGTCGACTGGAGGCGCGACATCTGCAGTCGTAACGCCGCCCTGGGCGTCGATACCGGCGCCGGCATGGAGGCCGACTGATGACGTCACCCAGGTCAGCCCGCCGACTGTGACATCATATCGCCCGCTGCGTACCTGAAGGGACCCGCCCCGGCCGCACAGACTACAATGCAATACGGCGGCGGCGAGTGACGACAGGCGGCCGCCTCCGCCCCCGCCCCGGCCCGTGGGCGGCCGGCGGAAGGCGGGGGCGGCGGCTCGTGTGCCGTCGGAAACCGGCCGATACCGATGATGAGCTTTGTCGAGCGGCGGTGGTAGGTGGGAGGTGGGGAGTGTACCGACCGCCGACCCCGGGTGGGAGGTGGGGAGTGTACCGACCACCGACCCTGGCCGGGCCCCCCGGAGGAGGGCCTTTGTAGCGGACCGGCTGGAAACGCGACGGGATCGGGAGAGAAAGAAAGGGAGGGAGTAGATCCGGGGAGAGAGGAGGAAAAGAAGAAGATGGGGAGTGGAAGGAGGGGACTATTAAGATCAGGAGAGAAAGGAAGGAGGTAGATTTGGAGAGGAAGGAGGGAAGGAATCAGATCGGGAGTGGAAAAAAGGTGTGGTAGCGTTCGACGGACCCGGTTGGCGCAGTCCCGGCCGGCAGCGGCCACTGCTCTGTTGCCCCACAATGTCTGGTGGTATTACCACTATTGGCCACCATTGTGTGACCGCACAGTAGTCCGGTGGCTGGCCACTAATGCGTTACACCACAATGTCCGGTTGCGTCCACAGTCGGCCGGACGGACGGGTGCAGGAAGTCATATCGCGGTCCACTGTTGACTCGGGGTGGGACGGGTATTATCAGATCCGGTCAGAGTCACTGGGCAAACCGCCGTCCGGTGACGACTCACTACGCCACTGCAGGGTGCTCAACTGAGCTCTAACTGAAGCCTGGACGGTGGCCCGGCGCGGGCTGAACGGTCTAATGACATGAGTTTCCTCAATATCGTTATTACTCTCATGTGTGCACAATATTCTCCGTTCTTGGTGCCGACTTCAGCAACAAGTCTTTCCGAAGATATCCAATGTCGCATTTTCAGTCGTAGACTGTGTTTTGCGGTCGGTCTCGCGCGTGCCTGAGAATGTCGGCCTGTGATATATACTGTATGCCTGACTGTGTGCCTCGGTGCGTCCATGCAAGGGCGTCTGTTTGTGTCTGTGCCAGTGTGTTTGTAAATATGTGACGTGTCGACTGGGATCGGCGCCTCTCGCGTCCGATGGCAATGACTTTGTGTTCCTCCTGGGCCGGTCCAGCGGCTCTCCGGCAACGACGGAGTAGGTTCCCCGCATTACCGTCCTCTGTAGTCTCTCTGGAGTCTCGGGCGTCCCGCTGGAGGTATCCCTGGAGTTCTCTGAACATGTTTCGCTCGCTGATGACCAGTCGTTAAATAAACATAGCACAATATGAGATGTTGGTGTCTGTGTGAAGCATGTTGATGGGTTGAAAATAAGACGGGAATATGAAAGGTTAACTGTATAAATACATATACCGTAAGGTGGGGCTATTTGAGACAGTGGGGCTATTTGAGACAGTATTTAAAATTGCTATAAAATAAAAACCACTTAAAATTTATGCTTAATTTTTTGCTCAGGCGATTTACTGCTCGATTCCACACCTCCCTGAGCAAAAATATCACATAAAAATCAAACGATCTTCATTTTATTTCGATTTTAAATACTGTCTCAAATAGCCCCACTGTCTCAAATAGCCCCACTTTACGGTACATATGTATCTGTATAATAGATATTGGACCGATCCATATTCGACGTGAACTTCGCAAAGGAAATAAGGTTGGCAGAGTCCATGTAGTAAGATTTTAGCTTCGCTTTTTTATTATTTTATTACGAAAACAACTAAAAATGTATCGGTAATTGGTAACCAACGTGACATGTCTTAGTCTAGCTAAGTGGACCATGCTAATTGGACAACACCGGTGAAGCCAAAAGTGCCGGTGTCCTCTGCTAAACCGTTCGTCAAAAATATCAGCTGATCGGCTCTGTCCGGTCACTGGTCAGAAGCTGGCGCTAAATTCTGACTCTGACCATGCGGTGCGCAGATGATCGTATTATACATTGTTTTCTGGCGCACGATTTCGAATCGGGATTTCGGTCCACTTCCAGCCGCCGTGCCCGCACTCGTCAGCAGTGTGGAGCATACAGAGCCATCTAGGGGCGGCGCTAAAAGCCGTACTGGCGTAGATGGCGGTAGTACTGGGCAGTGGGCCTGGGCAGCAGGCCTGTTTCCCGAACACGGCATACTCTGGCACGGCAACCGTAGGGGCCGAGAGGGGCATGCAACCTGATGCCCGATTTTCGATATGCATAGGTGGGCATCGTTCCCCAAAATTGTAACTTCGTTACTCGTTCCTCCGTTCCTTCAAAACGTGACTTCCGTTACTCGTTCCTCCGTTCCTCTGCATATAATGTAACGGAAGTTCTCTAGTCCGTTACTCCGTTACAGCAAAATAAAAAAAAACGTTACAATGTGGTGTATTTCACACTTTTTTTTTAGAACATTTTGACAAACTAAATCTACCGAGAAAGCGGAATGCCCACCAAATCTACCAAGACAGGGGGCACTGATTGGACACTAAACCTTGGAACGTCTGGTGGTACTGATGCGCATCACTTGTCCCCGGCCAGATGCCGGTTGCCCTTCACGAACACTAGACGTTTCAGGTTGGCATCTGAGAGCATAGGCGGCGAAACGGGGAGGGCACCGGGGCACCGCGCCCCCCTTTGATTTTGGCATTTTAACATTAGCCCTATGTGCGTTGCATCAGTGGCGGATCTAGGATTTGAGTTTAGGGGGGGCAAACATTGCGCCGCCAGGCAAGTCGGCGAGAATTTCAAACATCCAGTCTTAGGGACAAAAAAACAAACGAGCTACCGCTATTTTTCTCCTCGGATTTCGGGAATTACTTTTTTTTATTTTTTACATTTTTGTCAGTCCGGCCAAGCCAGGGCTGCGCAAAAAAATTTGCAGCCACCCTGACTCCGGGAGATAGTTAGCCCGCGCCGGGCCGGGGGTGTTTGAACACCCCCTTGCGGTTTTTCGCAGATATCTCAAAAACGGCGGCGCGGAGCGCCGCCGTTTTTGGCACACCTGTTTGTGCATCTTTTCCGCACATGTTGTGAAAATTTCAGACCCAGGTCACCTTAGGTCAGGTCACCAGGTCACGCCAAGTGACCTCACCTCAGAAAAAATAAGAATGCTCGTCATAGCTACACCGACTGAACGATTGCCTTGAAACTTTCAGCGATTGATTAGAGCAACACTATCTATAAAATGTTTATCTCGGAATTTTGATATCGGTGACCTAAGGTCAGGTCAATTTTGCGGCCTCTCCATTAGGTATAAGTCAATGGGAGAAAATTGAAAAGCGTCTGTTTTGCACAAACGCTACTCTAGACACTCTCAAACATCGAGATGTAGGTAAAATAGACACACTGAACCAGAAAATGGCAACTGTGACCCCTCGTTATGTCCCCGAGGTCATCTCAGGTCACGAACAGAATCTAACAGTTTTTCGATGCTAACTTCTGATAGAGGAGCGCTAGAGCGCTGAAAACGCCTTAGATGTGTTCGGCTCGACGTTGCGGATCAGCTGATATGCAACATGACCTTTTCCGGTCAGGTCATGACCTTGACCTGATGTCAAATTTTCAAGTTGACCTTTCAAGGTCAAATTATAGTTCATTCGACGCGTCTTGACGAGAGGAACACGATGCTGGCAAAAGTAATGTCATAGCTCTTTTGAGTCAAAAGTTATTGCCGAAAAACCGTTTTTCGTAAAAACGGCTATTTTTGGAGTTTTTGCCCTCTGGAGGCTAAACTGTTGACCTGAGGTCAAATCTGAGAACATTACTCAGAAAGGTCTGTAAAAGGGCTATCGAATGCGCTTTTTTGCGGCGCTGTAGTTCTATCGGTTCCCGAGATAGCCGTTGGCAGTTTCCAAAATGTTGAAATAGTCAACATTTTACCTTTGGTGACCTCTGGTGACCTGACCTTTGACCTGACCCAAAAAATGACCGAAGTGTTTTCGTCCTTATTTTTGACGTTCTTTCGATTGCCGCTTACCGCGTGTCGCTACGTGGCCCAGGAGCCGAGTTAAAAGGGGGGTGTTCAAACACCCCCCGCGGCCCGGCGCGGAATCTCAGAGCACCGGCCCGGCGCGGGTTAGAGAATAGCTCACCGGCGCTATGGACGGTCCGTCCTCTACCTCCCGCATCACCTCGGCAAGACCTCGTCCGAAAGGTTCGCCCGCGCCGGTTCTCAAGGGCTTCTGTATCCGGAGACCGATAAGGGTCGCAGCAGCAGGTTCATGTGTAAATGCCCACGACCAAAGGCCACATCAGCGTACCTGCGATACTATACGCAGTCAGGGTTGCCACGTAGTTAAACGTATTAACAGTTGTTTCCGGTAATAGAAAATGAGATCAGTCGATTAAGAATCCCAACAAGAAATAGACGAAGAACAGCGCATTTGTTTTCGGTCCTGCATTTATTGATGCAATTACAATGAACATTCCTTAACTTTGGGACTAAACTTCGCGAGTTAGCAAAATTATACAGTGTTACTTTCGAGAGGAGATAAACGATGCTTCTACAGACTACATAGGACCACAGCGCAACAGCCAACGGAATCACACTGAACAGCGTTAAGTTCCCACAACATACTGAGCTTCTCCAACACCTCGCAAACCAAAAGCTCTGACTGAGCCTTTCTGTGTTTGTCCCCGTTAGATAACGGTATGGCTCATGAAAAAGCCGCGATTGGTAATCTTCTTTACGTTATTCCTCTCAGAAACCTATCTCGCACTTCATGCATACACATATGCAGCTCTTGTAGAGACTCTCGGACCTTGGCACCCTTTTGGCACCCCCTTTGGAAATGGCTGTATCCGCCTCTGGACATAACTAATGTAGCCACAGTGGAAATACTAGGTACTAATGGATATTTAGACCCACCAATATTTTTCCAGCTCCTACACCCATGCTATCTAGCAATAAAATATTATGCAAACACTTCTTATATACCCATGCAAACCCACCACTGTCCAACCGCTCACCAGTGTGGTGACCCCTGACCCCACTGGAGTGACAGGCGTCTGGCGGTCTGCTGTTGACGGTTTGTTTACTTGGTTCAAGGTTTCAATAAATCGCGTTATTTTTTTTCTTTTTGGTAGCAGTAGCAGTAGTAGCACTGCTGATGGATGATGGACTGACATTCATGGGGCGGAGGACTTTTTATCAGCTCACAACTTAATATCACGAATATGACAACCTTCTAGTCCTCCATTTATTTCACATTTTCTTTTCAAACACCATGTTTTTAGCATTCAAGTTGTAGTTTTTTAGGGGGGGCAAAAAGATATGTTTGCCCAGAGGTTTTCCGTTTAGGGGGGGGCAATTGCCCATTTTGCCCCAACGTAGATCCGCCACTGCGTTGCATGGAAAGAATGGGACCAAAAGTTGGCAGTGACCCCCCCCCCTTAATTGAAGATGTTCCGCTGCCACTTTCTGAGAGGGTAGCCCTTTTTGGACGTAGCACATCTTTTCTCATTGAGAATAGGCGCTCTACTGAGGCGCTTGAAGGGACGCCCATGTTGAACTTTGCGAACACATACTGCAACGCCGGCTCATTTCGGAAGGCCAATACACTGAGGCCATCTTCTTCCTTCAAGTCAGGGCTGCTCAGTAATCCACTATTCCGCTGCTGCAGGGTTAGCTGAAAGATCAACCCGCTCGGACAACGAAAAGTAACGGAGGAACGAAGGAACGGACTAAACTGTAAAATGTAACGGAGGAACGAACAACCAATGTAACGGAAATTACTTGGTCCGTTACCCTTTTTAAAATGTAACGAGTCAGTTCCTCCGTTCCTAAAAATTGTAACGGCGTTCCGGAACGGAGGAACGGAGGAACGGATCGTGCCCACCTATGTCGATATGACACTTACGGGTGTGTGTGAGGGCAATGAACCCCGACCATCAATTCTAGCGTCTCCTCCCTTCCCCTTCACTCCAGCTGAGGACGTTAGTGGCTGCATATTTGCTTTGACCATGGCGTATCCAACCATTGCTATATCCAACCTGTTTCTGTATTGAATGTCAGCTTGGGCTGACTGCTCTTCTTGTAGTATGGGTCTTTTGTGGCCGAAAAGTTAGCTCTGGCTCAGTCTCGAAGTGCGGCATCCATAATTCCCTCTGAATCCTTCTGACCTCCGACCATCCTTCTTAGAGGCTCAGCCAAATACCTCTTCACGTGAACTCCTTAGCCTGCATTTCCTTTGCTCCGTCTGGGTGCGGCTCGGCGTTAGGATGCGGCCCGGCGGTGTCAGATCTCTCAGGCCCTCAGCCCCCTCCCTCCGGTGAGCGTCTCAAATTCTCGACGTGTCGGAGGCG